CCAGCATAGCTGGCTGGGGGATTCTGAAAGTTGAAGTCCACGGGACTTCAAGTCCCCAAGGTTGAGAAACACTGCTATAAGGTCTCCTGCCTTGAGCAGGGGGTTGGACTAGAGGACCCCCAAGGTCCCTTCCAACTCTGCTACTGGTTTTTTTCTGCCGGCGTCTCCATTTCTGGCCCACGCCCGTGTTCCCATGATGCTGGTGTGCTCCTTTGATGAGGTCATGCCTTGAGTCATGCTTTATGAACAGCCGTTGCATCAGCCAGGTGCAAGTTTTCCTGTCCAGACTGCCTCTCTTTTGGCCTCCTTCACTCTGAGTTCCTCCTGAGAAGGAAAACCGCTTAATTCAACTCAATTTTATTACAGCTAAACCCCACCCCCCCGCCCCAGCCGCTTCCAGACACAATTTAAACCTGGCATTGGACCAAATGGTTGAGCGCATAAAATATTTAAATCAACATTGCATAAGAAACAATTAAAAAGGGGGGGGGAAGAGAAGTGAAAGCCGGTTGAAGTTTTATATTATATTTATATTCCTGAAGCCAGACAGGCTTTATCAGGGTTGCAAGAAGAATCTTCACATGCCTAGCTATTATCGTTTATACGCATGATGAGCAGGTTCTTTGGATCCCAGAACCAGCCCGTGAGGTTCTCTTCTCTCTGCAGGCAATATTTCCCAGATTTAAACTAGGAATGGTGGTTTGCATTGACTGAATGATGGCCCTGAATTCACAGGACCCACTAAACCACGTGGGAGACAAAATTGAAGATTTTAAAATTCTTGCAACCATCTTTGGAAAGTATTTCCCAGCAAGGCTGAGTTTGTTCGCCAACACAGATGTAAAGTTTGCTCATGCCGCCTGGAGCCGATTCCTGCCCTGGCAGAATTAACAAAATTGGATGTTTCCTCTTTTTTTTTTTTGCCTTAATTAAGGAGAAAAAAAAGTTGGCAATGGAAAGTTTGAACAAGCCTGCATAATTGGCATTAAGCGGTATATATAATTGGATTCCTTGGCATCTCTCAATTACACAATCCATAACTTTCTGGAATAGGGTTTAGCCCCTGGGTTGAACCGGTTTTGTTCTGTTCTGGGGGTTTTGTTGGGGGGGAGGGGGGGTTGTTGGTTTTATTTTTCCTCCCAGACTTTGTATTGGGAATTACGGGCAAGAAATAATGAAAACGGGTTGTTTCCCGAGCCTGCAAAATCATAAACCCTGTTTGGGAAAAAGTTAGACAAACTTGAAGCAGCTTTATTGGATCTCATCAAAATTACTCAGATGAGTCTACGTAGGGACATCCGGTATGTAACTGTGAGGCCTCCCTCTATACACAATTCGCCAATTGGCGTTGTGGGGACTCCAACACTGGAGTCATAGTGCCTGCTGCTTGAGAAGGGGGTTGGACTAGAAGACCTCCGAGGTCCCTCCCAACTCTGCTGTTCTCCTATTCTGTCATCCCAGATCAATTCGCCAATGGAACGGCTGGCCACCAGAGGCTGTGGGCGCTCAGACGCTGGAGGTTTCCAAGAAGGGCCTGGGCAGGATGCTGTAAGGACCCCTGCCTTGTTCCCGGGGTTCATAAACTCCTAGGGCTGGAAGGGACCTTGGAGGTCTTCTAGTCCAACCCCATGTGCAGGCTGGGGGAATCCTGGGAGTTGAAGTCCACACCTCTCAGGATGGAGGAAGACTGATGGGGTTTACTCAAAGGGGCAGGGAGCCCATCAGTTTGCAAGTAAGCCATACAAACAACTAGCTGGAGACACGAGAATTTAACCAAATTCTCCTATAAAAGGAATTTGAGAGCCCCAGGCCGAAAGGGGTTTGTTGCGTGCGGTCAAATTTCCTGCCCAGTCTAGTTTTTTGGTCTAGTTTTTCTTTTTCCCCTCCTCAGGACATGACAGCTTTGATTGTCATAGAAATCTACTTCCTTAAAAGGGAATTTCATTATTTTTTTATTATCTCCAGACAATCCCCATCAGCTTCATCTTTTTCCGAGCATGTGAGTTTCTCTCTCTCTCTCTCTCTCTCTCTCTCTCTCTCTCTCTCTCTCTCTCACACACACACACACACACACACACACACACACAGGCTTGTTGGTGGTAAATTGTGCCAGCTGACACATCGGCTGCATGATTCCCAACCGTTGTTTCCCTCAAAGCTGCTGCCGGCAGTCGGAGGCCTCCTGACCAAGAGACCTGTTGGATCTGGCGTCTCTTTGCTGACTTTCTCCCAAGGTTGCTGGTTACACCTGGGCCAGAAGGAGCCGGGGGGGGGGACGACACTTGACTTACAACCTCTCGTTTAGCAACCGTTCAAAGTTACCACGGCCCTGGAGAAAGATGTCGTTTTTCACAGCTATGACGGCTGCAGCGCCCCCCCCCCTCTGGTCACGTGACCAATTCGGACGCTTGGGAACCGACTCATATTTATGACGGTTGCAACAGGGGTCATGTGATTCCCCTCTTGCGACCTTCAGTGGGGAAGCCAGATTCACTTAACGACCGGCCGGCTAACTTAGCTACAGAGATTCACTGAGCGGCTGTGGCGAGGAAGGCCAAGAGAATGGGGCAAAACCCACTTGGCTGTCTCGCTTAGCAACGTACATCTTGGGCTCGGTTGTGGTCGTAAGTAGAGGATGACTTGCATTCGTGCCATAATTGCCTTCAGCCAAATCACCTCCTGGGTTTTTAAAAATAGACGGGCATCATCACAGCGTTATCGACCGAGGATGGGCTGAGATCTCTTTCGGGAGCAGCAAAGAGAAAATGCTTCTTACAAGCTTAACATAAATGGCTGCATTAATAGATTTCTTGGGGAAGAGACGTTTCAGCCAATAAAATGGCTCTGCGTGCGAGGACCGTTCTGCGAAGGGGGCTGACCGAAATCCCCAAAGGATCCTGAAGGTCACTGGAGGATCAGTGGTTGGTAAGCACGAGAGTCTGCCGTTTGAGAGGCTGAAGTAGATTTACCATTTGGTTCAGCCTCGCTGGCCTCTCCAGAGGTGTGGAAGGCGTTACTTTGAGAATCTAGCAACTTGGCTGATTGGGTCCTGACGAGTGAGTCACTTCCTCTCTTGTTTTCAGAAGAATTTTTAAAACGTGCCTGGCTGCAGGGACCAATTTCCCCTTTGGGGTTCTTCACCTGCCATTTAGGGAAAAACCACACCAGGTTGGGGGGGG